GTGCAAACAATTGTACAAATAATCCATCATATAATCTGTTGCTGTACAGGCTCTTACACACAAAGAGCACTCCCTATTCGCTTCTGAGCCCTGGGAGCATGCCTAGACACAGCTTACCTGTTGCCTAGGAAGTTTGGAGATACAAAAACAACCATCATGTCACTTAGCATCCAGTAGTCATCATCTAGAGTTAGAAGCTATCATCTTCAGTTAGCATGCATTAGTTGTTGCCCTAGTCCCTCAGCACAGTCTATTATCATCAGTTTCCTCTCAGCAGCATCAGTTCATGTCTTCACACCTTCTACCAGTTTCTTATACATCTGCGCACCACATGCGCCTTATTCCCATGCTTCGCACTCCTACATGCTCCATATTCCCATGCATGTGCTTTCAGCATGCTTCACCAGAGTTAACCTGGTGTCACTCTGTGGATTTGCTTTCCTTGCTTCCCCTAAGGGTCAAACACATCACTCAGCACACTTCAACCAACACCTAGAGAGTCAGTAGCCTTTCTCTTCCCCCAGAGTCAGAGCCCTCTTTCTTTCTTTTGCTCTGCAAGCCAGCATAGTAGTTGAACCTTCAATGCATGACTTTTAGTTAATACTGTGAAATAGTCCCTAGTGGTTGATCCTGTTGGAGATTGTCGCAGCTCATGGAGGTGTTTTATGACAATCCAGACTGCAAGAATGAAGGTGAGAATCTCCCACATAGTGGTGGGTATCAAACTCTCATTGGCCAGATCCAACTGGTATGTGTCATCTGTGAGAACACAATTATGGTAGCCAAAAAGGATATATTCTTCTGGTATTTGTCCATAAGTCTTAAGTGCTTGAGGGTTTCACTGATAATTAAAGCTTACCTACTGAAACACTGATGTTTGCCATTACTGTGATAATGCTGGAGGCAATCATGAAAGCCAACAAAACTACAATGAGAAAGACAAGCATCTTTTTGGATCATTGATACATGGCATGTATCTGAACCATGATGATGGCTTGCATAATACTTTAGTCAAGTCAGTATCAGTAAGGTACCACAGGTAAGCTCACCACCCAGCATAGCATTGACAACAACAGGCATCCATACTGATATGAAGTAGAAGATAAGGCCTGAAAACCCAGGTTACTGGTGTGCATTGATGGACTAGATGCTTCAAATTATTAAGGTGAGAGCTAAAGTAGCACAAGCCTCAGTCTATGGTCAAAGAGACTTTATTCCTAATGTACAAACCTAAAGTAGTGTGAGCCTAATGGGTGTGCTAATGAGTACTTTGTATGTAGGAATGAGAGCAGTATACACACCTCAGTCTATGGTTGAAGAGACTGAGGTGCAACAATAGTATCTAGCTGTCTTAAGTAGTGAGGAAGAAGGAAAATAATCATAACTAGGTGAGTGGCATGCAATGACAGGCATGACAGATGTGATATTAGAGTGGTACCAGCTCGGGTGCTCTGACAGATCACCTCTCAACACAAATGAACTTATAGCTGCTGCAGTTGTGTTTAACATGACAAGGTGGCTGAAAATATCACTCACTTCTGTTTAGGAGCATAGTTATTAACCGAATAGGAATAGGAGGCATTGGTGCAGAACACCCACTACATCTGTTATTGAGAATGGGAGATAATCTACATGCCACCAATTAGTCAAAGAAACAAACATAGCACGTTTGGGAGGGTACATACCTATTATGTTGATCCTAATTGTGAGGTATAGCTTGTCAATCCAGTGCAGTGTCAACTGGTTAGACTTGCAAACTTACACAGAATATAGTATTCCAATGTAGTGCACCTGCATATGTTGAAGTCAACTCAGTGCAACATATCAGCTGCATTCATAGCATAATGTACACATATATAAAGAATGGTTATGAAGGACCAGGCATGCATCTACTCCAAGTCATTATTCAATTTGCTTCTGATATAGGACCCTGCTTACCCAGACCAGTTCAAGCTGTAAAAGCATCCTTAGCAAGATACAGTAGCTGCACCAATGACATCAACTTACCTCTTGTCTGAATGTTAATGCTTGAATACCATATAAATATTAAGGATACCCTCAGAAAGTATTATTTCACCCACCCCAATTGTACACCACTGCAGCAGAAGATACAACTGCAAAACCAGTCAGTGATAGTGAGACGTCACCATCCCCATCCCACTTGCTCTCTACAGACCTACAGTATAATTGAGAATAATAGAAGCACTGATAAATAGCAACCATGCAGGATCATTTGAGACTGAGGTCATATCTGGATGGGGCATATGGAGTTTGTGCAGACATACCACTGCCATGCAGTGCTTGTATAGTAATCCATCTGGATATCAGTTCCTTGAGTGAGAATCTTGGTTAATCGCAAGAACTTTGGATGAAACAATTAGATCTAATGGGGAAGCAGTTTCATTTAAATGAAACATGCTAAGTGTTTCAAACTTGAAATCAGTTGGCAGAGCAAATGATGTTCCAAATCCAATACTGTTCTGCACATTTCACACCAGTGGTTGTCTGGTCATTATTAACTTAACATAATATCTACGAAAGTGGCTGAGTATGTGCTTTTTGTCTTCATATATGCCAGATTATGCACATAGCTCCCATATTTACAAGTTGTCTCATCCTCATAGGGTGGCATGTCTAAAACAGCCAGCAGGAATGGTGGACTGGTGGGGATACACCTCACACCAGGGCATTCACAAACCCAGGGATGCGAAAGGGGGCACTGGGGGTCCCCTAGACTAGATAGTATTGTCCTCCTTAGAGTGTAACTCTCCATAGGACACTAAAATTGAATCACAAAAAACCTAACATAATCTAACTCCAGAGTTCATCGGAGAACAGACTGACTGGTAACATCAAGAGGTATTTAAATTCAGACAGCTAGGAACAGCTAAGTCAATGATGTCTTTGATACCAAAGCATATTGACCATTATTCTGTTGCACTGTCCAATCATAATGTAGCAATGTACCACAATTTAATTCTCACAGGACTATGCTGAGGATGATTCATCAAGATTGGATCAAAAAAGGATGTTCAAAAGTAGGGTTACATGTAGCAGATGTGCACACCCAAATGCACAGTGAGGCTGTGGGCATCTACCAACTGGACACTAGTAGTGCCTAGAACTCTCCAGTGGAATATGCCAAAGGTATTACAACTGCTAGCTCTTGACTAGCTTGATGTCACATAGGTTGCACCAATTATGCAGAGTTTCATCATCATACAAGGTTTTGGGGGTGGAGATGGTGTGCTGAAGGATGGAATGGAATAAGCCAAATATGTTGGGGAGGGCTTAGCCTGGAATGACTGATCACTGCAGGGGGAGGGAGACCTCTCTACATTGATCAGAACATCACCTCCAACATGATCGATCAGTGAGATGATGCCACCCAAGTGCTTGCAGTGCTTTTGGTAAGTGCGCTAAGTGCAGTTCTTGTTGATGCAGGTGCTCTTACAGCCAACAACAGCACATGCATGGTGTGCTGACACTGGAAGTTGGACAGTACCTGAAGGAATCAGATTGATAGTTCATTTGCATGAACACAACGAGCGATGGTGAGCAGTGCCCAGGGCATTGTGCCACTCTGTGACTGAAATTAAAGTTTGATAGTTCATATGAACACCATGAACGACAACAAGCAACACCCAGGGCATTGTGTTGCTGTGGCCAAAATTAGGTCTCCATGAAAAACTACCCACAGAGTTAATGATGAGTTTTTAACTCACCTCCACCTTTGAAGGGTTTTTGACCAGTTTTTGACACACTCAAAAAATGTGTTTTTTCAGGTCATTTTGACATTTTTTCACTATGGTAATGCAAATGCCCACTGTACAGGCCCTTATAATGTGCTGCCAAGTCAAGCTCCACCATGGCTCTGCATTGATGGCCTATCAAATCACCCTAAGATTGCTCGATCAGCACGTTACTACTCTATCGCCCTCCTCCCACCATTTTGATGCGGTGAAGGATGCTACATCATCTTTTGCAATGGATGCATTCTCATGTGGTGTTCATCGTGGCTCTTTCCCAGCTGCTGTGGAACTGGTGGAGCAAGGCCATGCAGTATTCTGGACCCAGTTTGCACGCTTCAGCACACCACTGGATGAACTTTCTGCATCAGGTAATGCCGGCATGACATTGGTGGCAGAGCAGCTCAGCTTCCACCTTCATCACATGTTCAATGAGTCTACTGAAGACAAGTCCCCACAAATCCATCAACTAACCATTCAATGGGACAATGTGGTCTCACCCATCTGCCTGCTACCCGATTTTTGCTGGTTTCTCCTACCTCCGCTATTTTCTGACCTCCAGAAGGCAGCAAAAGGTGGTCCTGTTGTTATCCTCAATGCAAGCAAGTACAGCTGTGATGCCTTGTTCATCACAAGTGCCCAAGATTCCATCCACATCCCACTTGGTAAGATCATCCGATCCCATTGGCAGAACCTGGAGTTTGCATTCTTATCAGCTTGCCACACTACTGTTGGTGATGAGTCCAGCCCCAATGAAGCCATCCATCTCGCTGCAGCAATGCAATTCTCCAGATTTCATGGTGTGATAGGATCCATGTGGTCTATCAATGATGGGGTTGCACACCAATCACATAGTACCTTGAGATCTTCAAATGCAGCCTGGACTGCTAGCCAAAACTTGTATACATCGGCAGAGGTAGAGAATTTGATAGGCTATATTCCCAGGATCATGTACATATATATTTTAGTTTTTGACAAGTTTTTGACACCCCAATATCAACCCCAAGTTATCGACTCATTAAAAACACGTTAAAAACCTGTCAAAAACTCCAACATCAAAAACTCGGTAGTTTTTCACGGAGCCCTAGCCAAAATCAAAGTTCTTACATAAAATAAATTCTGGATAGCGTTCTGGATAGCCAAATTAGGACAGGACGGTACGGACGGGACGGTCGGTCCTTCCCAAATTTCCGGTATATACGTGATTTCCTTTTTGGTCATGCGTGTGAATTTTTTTTTGCCAAGTACTGACATTACTTTCTCAAACAGCTTCAAGTGTCACTAGTACTCACACGTTTGTGCAACACTGTCAATGCGCATGATGCATGCATAGACGGACTGGTCACGAGTCTATGATGCATGATCGATGGTCAACATGTCTCTTAAGCTTGTCCGACAGCAGGCCGCGCTACACACCTATTTCTGCTTCACAGAGCAAGTCATGCGCTACCTTTTCGTTCGCAACGTGATCAGTGAATCTGCAGGAGCGTATGGCTACCCTCCACGACATAATTCTTTTGATGACAAAATTTGTCGAGACGGATATAAAAGCCTGGTCGTGAAGGCCGGTGACCGGTAATCGTTGAGGTTCTCGCTAGTTTTCGCTTTTCTTGTTACCAATACCCATGGTGAATTTTACTATCCTCGCAGGAGGGTACACTTCCTACATCGCCTCGTATATGTTCAATAGCGAGACGAACAATTTGACATACTTGAACCAGTATATCACTGGCGGCAATCCATCGTGGATAATCTCACACCCTACGAACAAGAGTATTCTTTAGTCCGTGTCCTCTTGTGTTAGTATCTGCGCGCATCCGCTAATGGTTTTGTTGATCACGTAGTGCAACCAACGAGAACGTCCCCGTAGGCGCATTACAATCATTCACGGTCGGACCTGAAGGAGCACTCACCCTTGTCGATACTGCATACTCTGGAGGAAGTGGCCCGCCGTATTGCGGCGGTCTCTCCACGGGTCAGGTAGCCATAGCCAATGTACGCCGTGATTTTTTTCTTTTCTTTTCAAGTTAATGCTGAATTTATATCAGTACGGCTCCGGAACTGCGCGGGTAATCCCCACGACCACAGATCCGTTGCAGTTCTCCACCAATGACAGCACCATTGTGACATTCCCTGTCCCAACCACTGGAACGCAGGGCGTGTCCGAACCGCATATGGCATACCAATACGGCGAGGAGCTCTTGATCCCCGACAAGGTACGTTTTGCGACCTTTCATTTGTGATTTGTGGCTTTTTCACTCACCTCGAGCGGCTGTTTTAAAGGGCAACGACAAAATCTGGCGTCTCGGCCAGAACGGGTCACCAGGTAACTTCTCGGTTCACGGTCAAATCGCGCAGCCAATCGGCAGCGGCCCACGGCACATCCAGATTTACGGTGAGCACATCTCCTTTCTCTTTCTCTCTCGCTAAGCCAGCACACAGAGAACCAGCTCTACACAATCCACGAGCTCGCAAGTACCCTGATACTCCAAGACTTTCCCGCATACCCCAACTTCTCCACTCCCCTCATCTCCAACGTTTCCACTGTCCCGAATTATCAACCTGCAGGCTCCAGCTTTGCAGCTGCCGAAGTCCTTATCCCACTTCCAACAGCCGAGTTCCCGACCCCTTACATCTACACCTCGAACCGCAACACTGGTGTACAGGACCCACGTGGGGATACGATCGCCATTTTCGAGAACGTGGATAACCAGCTGGTCCTGAAGAACCAGGTATACACGGGCTTGAACCAGATTCGCGGCATGATGCATGGGCAGCAAGCCGGCGAGGGAGGCGATGCATATATTGTAGCTGCCGGGTTTGCGGGCACTGCGGGCGTCAAGGTGTTCAAGCGAACGGAGGGAGGCGTGAATTTGGAGGAGGTTGCAGTGAATACAGAGCTTCCGACGCGGACGAGCTTCGTATGGTTAAAACAATAGAGGATTACACTCAGTATCAATCCAGACAGTCTGCTGTCTAATATAGAATATGCATGCATGTCTCTAGGTGTGATACTGGTACTATGGTATGTGTACTCTATGGATCATGAGTAAGTTCGCTGCAAGAGCTGGATCTGCTCGTCCTTGCTTAACCCCATGCGACCTCTCCAATGACGAGGACAAATAGGTATTTCGTCAGTGTTGCGCGGGCGTGCTGGTAATGCCAGAATAGCATCTAGAATCTCTGGAACATCCTCGGGCTCTACTTCACCTAACCTGTAGAATTAACATCAAATAAGTGCATGCGCGATAACACATAATTAGCAGGCGTCAAACATACCATTCTCCGTGCGGGTACACAAGAAGATTTGCTGCATATCTAGGATTGTGCATGAGTGATCAGGCCTGGTGGAGAGGATGCGACGTGTGCATACTTGTGACCTCCGACATGTGCCACTTCTGCAAGCTTAATGCAGGTACTGGGATCACTCGGATCGGCATCTCTGCGCTTCCGGAGCTCATCCCTTACAGCCTGGGCAACTGCTCCCCCAATGTCTCCGCACCGACAATCTCGCGCACCATGAGTACAGACATATAAATGCACATCATCTAAATTCGAGGACGTAGCACCAGAGACACCCTCAACATGCATCCTCAACTGTTCTTCCACCTCCTCAATATTGTCCATGGACACAGTAGCCTCAAGCTTTCCCAGCGGATGCGCAAACGCTGTCAAATGATATTCCTGCTTGTCTTCCTCCCCAGGTGGTCGTGCACGGATAGATTGTTGGTCCTCAGACCACGCAAAATTTACAGACCCGCCCCATTTAGCGGTGCGTAGAAGGAGTGCGCGCTGGACGGGGGTTGCGTACTTGGCGGGATACTCGCTGGGCGGCTGTGGGGTATGCAGGAAGATGTAGCACTGGTGCGGAGGGGCTGTGCCAACGAGCTCTGATGTAGGTCTGGCAGTGGTGGTTAGCGACCGCACGAGCGTTCTGAGCGCACGGAAAGCTGGCATATTGGAGGACCGAATTATGAAATGATTCACGGAACTGCGGGAAGCAGCAAGCGCGGTTCGTGATCATACACGTGACCGGCGCGTTTGGAAGTTCCTCCGGATCATCAATTCCACGATAGTCAAAAGTTCAGAAGGGCTGTGATTTCAAGTGGCGGGGCCCTCAAACTTGATAACCCGATTGGCTACTTCATTCCGTTGAAAGGACTTCCGAGATCTCAATGTCACCCTGATGGCTTTATTTGTGTTGCATGTTCGCAGCATTTAACTTTTATCTCGCAAACTTTACCTTTTCGACATGAGTATGTTATCGGTGTGTAATTATTGGTGTGTTACATATCTTGCCATGATCCATGACCTAAATTTTTCAGCAACCACGTCGGCAATATTTCATAGCATTTGTTTCAAGTCAATATACAACCTATGTCGTAGATTCCTCATCTTCCGGAGAGATCTGATGTCTCCCTATCCACACTACCAAAGCCACGAAGCAGACGGCAAGTGATCCAGCAAAACCTACGAGACCACGCGTCCATCGACCTTCAGTTTCGAAGATCAAATCGCCAAAGCCCGCAGCAAAACATAGTAGGCTATCGCGAAGGTTCAGCAACAAAGTTTTTCATGCGGTAACATGAATCCTTACGCCCACATCAACAGTCCATATGGCAAGCCATACGTTATGGATAGCGCTTCCGTGCCAAAGGAAGTCTGTGATACGTATGTCAGAAGTGTGACCTGTTCTCTGGGTCAGTCCTTGACAGAACGATGGTATTTAATTGGTTCTCGTACAGCTCGCTCGCAATCCTTCTTTTGGTTTTGACGAACCAGTAGAAGTACGAGGAGGACGACTGCAATACTGCAAGCCACTGATAGATAGCTTAGCAATTTGGCGGTGTCTTGTACAGATGGAATTGCAAGAAAAGCCACGTTGGCATTGAGAATAACTGTCGCCTAGAGAAATTCGTAAGTATTGCTGACTCTACATGTTCTAATAAAGATTCACTGAGAGCGCCAATCCAGCCCATTCATCATTAAGTTTCCCGATGAATTGATTCCAGAGGACGCGATTAATGATCCTATCAACCCATATCTTTTTTAGATCTTCTTGGTGGGTATGAGGGGCGCCAAAGAGCAGAAGAGAGGTAATAATGAACAAGAGCGACCGATGACTATGATCCTTGTAGATTGTCTGGTCGGAATCCAGTCTTGCACCTGGCTGTCCACAGAAATTGAAAAACTTTGCTTTGACTATTGCAATATTAGCGAAAGCTGGTAGAGTCTTTTGTTACGCACTGAACTCGGACATGAATCGAGCTGAAAGAAGATGATTTAACATACTCCGGGAAGCACAACGTTCAGGATACAAACACACCCACAACACATCTCGTGTGCGTAAATTCTCCTTCGAGGGTTCCTGTCATAAAAAACATCAGTCATCTGGATTGTGTTCCCAAACCTTTACCAGAACTAGTACCTTCGATCTCCTTAACGAGGTCCAGCATCTTCTCCAGCTCGTCCCTCTCAAACGGAGCGACAGATGTCACAGACGTGATGGTCACTGAGGTTCACAAACATCAACTTCTCGCTCGCGATCGAGGAGATGCAATGTGATATCGGGAATCACCTGCTGCAGCATGCATAATCATTTGTTTTAATTCCTCAAGAACATTCGGCGTCACTCGATTTTCATGTGGAAACAGTTCACAATGAGCCCTTGAAGTTGTTTGAGTCGTCATCAAATCCACATGAGCGGCTGACACGATGTCAGAGACTGACCCTAGTCACGCAAAACAATAAACATACCTGGACCTCACCAGTACTGGGCTTCAATAGCGTATTCTAAAATTGTGCATGTTAACATACAGAAAGATACGGGAGATAGTCAGAAGTCACACACTGATATGACCCATGTTCCTCACTCGCCTGATGTTCTCGAACAAGGATTCTGCGTCAAAACGTTCTAGCCAGAAGATGCACCGCGTGTCCTGTTCGACGAAATAGTAGCCGCAGGTGTGCTCATCAATATCCTCAACGACCAATTCCGTCTTGCTAGTGATATCTATGTTTGGGTTGGTTTGTGCGTCGTTATATAGCTTATCTGCGAATGCCTCGATCGCACTGAGGGTTGACGGTTTTGACAAGTCAGCATCAGTATATATCCGCTGCCGCTTTCGTTAATGATTGTGTGGAGTGTCGAATCTGAACCTACACAAGTGCTCTCGTAGTAATACAAGGCACCTTCAGGGTGCGCAAGTGGTTTCCATCGACTAGAGGGCGGTTTGCTTGGCGTCGTCAGCTCACAATAGTCCAGCCGCAGAAGAAGCACATACTCCTCGAACACCTTGTTCCCCGGCTCAATAAACACGCGGTCCTTCGTTTGGGGTCTAGGCCGTGATTAAGAATCGAAAAAGGAGGCCGATAGCGCCTCATACCGACTTACATTGTCCGCTTCCTCTTGTATCGATCTATATCAGATGCTGGAATAGGCTTCGCCTTGCGTGTCGATGTAGAAGGAGATATTGTGCATGACGATACAGATATGCCAGAACTTGAAGGGTTAATGTTGCTGCTCGGTGCGGTGCATGCACCGCTTGCTGTAGCGACTGGAGTCGCACTAGCAGAAGGTACCGGAGATGAAGGTGGTGACTTCTGTGGGGTTGGTGAGCCTCCAGGACTGCTGACTGTAATATGAGGTGCTGTTCTGATAACGAGTGACTACCTTAGCATCTTGCTGCTTTAGAGTATTGACGGGGTAAGACATACTGTGGCAGCGTGGAAAGAGGATGGCTTGTTGGCAAAGTTGTGGAAGACCCTTGAGGCCTTAATCGCAGGCGAAGATGGACATGATTGAATTAGTACAAAGAATAGAGCACCACATTGCAGACGAACCGGCGTGCCCAAATGTAGTTCAAAACCGTGCTTAGCCCACCTCCGGCACGGCTTCGTAAATTCGACTGAGAAGACATTGAAGTCAATCAGTATTCAAGGGGATGCTGAAGGTTTCCCAGCCTAAAGCTGAAGCGCCGGACAGCCTCTAAACGCTCCAACCACGTGTAGTCATGTACTGTGATTGCACATTCATCGTGCGCGTGTTGCTGCATTGATGCAACCCTCCTGACTACTGGTGATCCGCTGGGTACTGCCATCAGCGTGAAACCTGAAGAATAACATCGGAGTCGCAGGAGGCTACTCGGTGACTCGGTTGCCCAGCTGGCCATGTCAAAAAATTCAAACTGACGAACCAACAAGAGGATTTTCCGATACCTCGGAGTTGCTTTGGAATTTAGTTTGCTGCTGCTGTAGCCTTACAGTACTAGCATGCAATGCGCACTGCGTGGCACAACTGTGCAATCAGTGACAAAGCATTTGCCATCGGCCATCATCCCGACCGCCACGTCACGTATATAAACAGCCAAGTGCTTGAGTTCGCTCGACATCTACCTCCTGTTGTTTATTTATTTATTCATCTCAGATTCTCAGCACCATGGGTTTCTTCTCAAAGTCATTCGACCCAGTCACTGACCTCCCGGACTTGTCTGGTAAAGTCATCCTGATCACAGGCGGGAAGTGAGTAGTAATTATATCACAGATTCGGATTGTTATTCACAGCTGCTTTGTAGCGCAGGTATCGGCTACTCAACTGTGAAGCACCTGGCACGTCGTGGTGCCAAGGTGTACATGGCTGCGCGCAACCAAAGCAAGGCGGAGGAGGCGATCACGCAACTGAAAGCAGAGGGGTTGGGCCCTGGAAGCGGTGATGTTATCTGGTTGGAACTTGATTTGAAGGACCCTCGGAATGCGAAGAAAGCAGCAGAGAGATTTATGAAGCTCGAGAAGAGATTGGATGTTCTGAGTCAGTATATCTTTTTGTTCGTTCATGATTTTGGCATGCTGAATGGATCACAGTTCACAACGCTGCGGTGTAAGCTGATCAGCTCGCGTAGGTGTGCTTGATACTGAATCCCCTATAGGTTACTTGAGAATTACAGCATGACTCCGGATGGTAAGCTTTGGTCTTGCACTGTAAAGATCTGTACTTACACAATACCCCAGGAGTTCAGGAGATAGTGATGGTTAAGTGCGCCTTCTGGCAGAAAAAAACATGTACCGAGCACTTACCTATGTTCATTCCAGCGTAATAAGTCATATCGTCCTGACACGCACTCTTCAACCGCTGCTGGACCAGACAGCAGCAGAACCTAATTCAGACGTCCGCATAGTCGTCGTATGTAATGCTTTACCGCATGCGTCCCGAAAACTCACACTTCCATATTACTACTCAGGTCGGTTCAGAAGCCCACCGGTTCGTATCAGGGGAAACTCATTTCCGGAACCTTGATGATCTTAACAATGAGCTCAAGAGTTCGCTTTCCCCTACCTTCGCGCGGTATTGTACGTCGGTCGTCCCTTGGTATCTTCTGTCTTACAAATTTTCTTCACAAGGCATGACGAAACTCATGAATATGCTCTACGCTTTTGAACTTCAACGACACCTCGCCGCTGTTGGCTCTCCCATCACCGTCATCGCCGCTCACCCTGGAGCAGTCAACACCTTTTCCGATAAACCGCCCCTATCCAACTTCAAGTTCATCGTCAAGCCCATCGTGTCCCTCTTCTTTTTACGTCCAGACCAGGGTGCATATAACTCGGCGTTTGCAGCTGCGTCGGAGGAAGTGACTAGGCAGCGCGAGAAGTACAAAGGCGCGTATTTAACGCCAGTAGGTAAGCTAACGGAGCCGACGAAGGTGGCAAAGGATGAGGGGCTTACAAAGGAACTTTGGGATACCGTGGATAAGTTTTTGGAGGAGAAGGGGATTTAAGGGAAGTTTTGTTCTATTGATGCATGACGGATAGCAGTGCCTCCAAGAGGTGTTGAATGGACAAAACGTCGATACTAGATTATGATGGAACAATTATCCCTGTTGATATGTTATTATGTACATTTGCATGGCGCTGGTGCCTATCTGGCTTTTCCTTTTCTTCTGTCTAGTACATCACTGCATCGTGTCTTACACCTTACTGTATGTCATTCCTACATAATCATTTTATTAGCCCTTAGTCTGTGTTGCAATTAGCATCGAAGGTCGAGTGAGTACGCAACGATGCGATTATTCGACAAGTCAAGGAGGTATTTCCGCCTGAGTTTGAGTCAGCACAGTGCCCAGCTGTGAGTTGCAGCAATGGCCCCTGTACTTCATAACCCGAGTCACGAAAACTGAGATGGCGGCCGAGACCTGATTCAAACCGAGCATATGGTGATAGGAAAGCTGCTAGGTTGCATAAGACAGCAAGATGTCTTCAGATCATGGTAGATGGCACGCGAAGGACATTATACATATCTATGGATAAACCAGAGCGTGTGCCCACAACCTTTCTTCCCTGGAGATGAAAATTCCAAACGATGCATTCAAGCATGCGAAATTTAATGATTCCGGACAGTGTTGTCAGTGAACGAAAGGTCTGCTAATAGTATAATTAGCCTACATGAATGTGAAATAGACTTTCCCAAGTTGTCTAGCGTTAGAAGCATTCACTGTCTGGTTTACAACGTACCTGCTGGTGGTTCGCATGCTTTGGAGGCCAAAAGGGGTCGTATGAAGTTAACAGGAAGCTTCAAGTTGTACAGCTGAATTCTACGGCATGAATGAAGATGTTCAGTAACCAAGAAAATACTGCCAACGATAGCGCCACGGGCAGAGCTCGCGATGGGCCACCTCGGATATGGTATGCGTCAGTCTGTATCACAGGTGACGAAATCGCACTCGAAAAAAACTGAACATGCTAACATGTATTATGGTCATGCTGATCATCAGTTGGTCCAAGCCCTATTGTATTTGATGAGCTGATTTTGGAGACATAGTAAGAGCCTCGTTACCCTTCCAAATCATGGTATTGCCGATTGCCTAGATAGTCTCTGGTCAGACAGCAAGTCGCCAACGAAAGAATACCTCTAGCACTATTACATTGTCTTAACCATTATCATTCCCACTGGCCACGGGGGCAGCCCCCACTGCATCATGTCTAAAAGAAGGGGGGCCGGGGTCCTTGTATACATAGATAAAATGAAATCATCAGTTGGAACGCCGTCACGTCGACGGCAACACTAAACAAACAGATACGTGGAAGAGCGTATGATTGACGGTACGGAAAGAGAGAGATAAGATATATACAGGATATGTGCGTCTGTGCGTCTATGACGTAGTGGTAAGCGTCAGGCTTAGCATCAGTTCTCTGATCGTTCAACTAGCGCAGTGATATGATCCTAGAAAGCTCGTGACATCAACAGCAGAGGGGCGACGTCCTACATCACTCCAGCATTTCTCAATGAAATCCCAGAAAGAATCTGCGTCGTGCGGACTCGATGGTCTTGTAGGCTTCTTCGGGACAGTGTCTTGATGGTCGTTTCGCACATCTGCATTGGGTGATTGACCTGTCATAACCTACGGGATCTTAGTCACAAACCAATGCAACTACTAGGGAACGCCTCGAACCTGAAGCGCGATGCATCCGAAGGAATAAATATCGCTAGCTGGCTGTGGAGGAGTCGATGACTCTTCGTCCTTGAGGATTCCATCGTATGCTACGTAGGCATTGTGATCCGAATCTATCAGAATGTCGTTCTGCGTTCCAGATCAGAGCTAGAAGGCGAGTATCAGACAACTAGTACGTACAGCAGTAAGGTTGCCGTGGACGATGCCCTTCGAGTGGACTGCAATGGCGTTACTCATTGTTTTCATAAACTATTGAAGATTTCACATACGGTAGCTGATGGCTGCAGCGACTTGCCGCAACTAAGGTTCCAATGAATACCATAATGTACGAGCGCTTCTGAGAAACAACTCACGATCCGGAGCTTTTTTTCGATGGTCAATTCTGTGAAATGGTGTTCAAGATATGTGGTGAGCGAGCCGTTGTGCATCCAGGGGAAAACCATCGCTGGAAGTAGCCCAAATTCGTAACTGAAACCGAGCAGAGGCAAAAGATTTTCGTGATGCAGTTGCTTCCGTGCATGATAGTCGGCCAAGAGTCTCTGCGAAGCCGTGGTTTGAGCAAGCGTATCACATGCAAAGGAGAAGCCGAGAACGTACTCGAGTAAGTCTGACCCTGGGATCGTCGTTTGTGATATCGATTCTTATGGATTTGACTGCTACCTGTCATGGATTCAGATTGCTGGACATCCATACGTGTAGCATGCTTGCCTCCAGGTCTTCACAGTCACGGTCCCATTGGCGGAATCTGCATTTCCACACATCCCCAAAACTGCCATGTGCTATTGGATGAGTGGACTCCTTGACTACGCGTCCCGTAAGGTCTTCTAAGCTGCATGAGAAGTCGCATGAGGAAGTGCGTTGTCCCAGGGTACCATGATCATGGATTTACCGCTTTTCGTGGTCTAGCTCACTACCACCGGTGGTAGCTACCATGATAGATGGGCGGCTTCCCCACAACGACTTCCTCCCGACCTTCTCTAACCAACACCCGCAGTAGGATAAGAAAGGCAAAATCATTTTAGATTAGTAGACTCGTGCGTCGTGATCTTTTAACGAGGCAGGCCTGCACTGCTAGTACCAAATAGTGACATGCAGAAACAATGAGACAATAAAACGTGCATGAGCCTACACAGCATCACTCGAGCGCCCCGGCCTATCATATGCTGTAGTCACCGTTGTGGTGTGGCAGTCAACGGAGAACTAGTGAAATTCCATGGTCATAACCAGGAATTGAAACGTCCTGTTCAGGGTCCAGCGTGGCTATTGTAATGTGTGGACCAAATTCCATTGATTGGAATGGGCGATGCCGTTTGCAGGCCAAAATTACCTTGCGGAGCAAGGTCTATGAATGCGGCGTGACCTGTGGTGGTAAACATCACAAAATATACACGTGATCATCGCGAACCGTCTGACACCAGACACACCAAAATGAATTAGACTGCGTTATTGCTGATTCTGCACAGAATTACATTATGGCGAATGAGATAATGGTACAAAGTATCTTCAAGAACGATCCTCCCGAACAATAATTACACTACTTTTTTAAAATCCATCCGGCAAACTCATTTCATCACTGGCCCTCACACATATGCCATGCTATGAACGGCCCGAGGTTCGATAACAGCGCGAACAATTAACCTCGAGGTTGTTTCAACCACGCTGATGCAAAGCACACAGCATATGCGAGGATGGTATGTGCTCCAATATCCAGAGCATACGAGAGCGCGAATGCGTCCAAATTGATTTATACCTGAAACCTGTCCAAGATATGAAAAAATGCATAGTGACAAAGACTACTCGCCTGAATATGAACCACGACTCCAATTGATCGTCTGACCTGCGATTCTACAAATGTAGCTGCTTGCCGTCATTTCTGTATGAAAGTCAACAGCCTGGCGCATTCCGCAATTAGATACGAGCAAATGACTAACTCAGATTATGTCATCACAACAGGTGTCACGGACTTCATTCACAGCGGACAATACGACGAACGAACGACATAACCATTATCAAAAATGCGGCAAAAGAGAACACAGAAGGTCCGTAAGTTAATTGTCAGACAAACAGCCCAAGCACCAATTTCTTAACTGACCATTCGAGGAATTTTGAGAGCAGCATCTCTCAACCGTTCTGCTAACAGAAGTGTATCTGCATACACCACTGTAGTATCTAAGTCGCGTGCCATTTTCTGAGCGATTCCTCAGTAATAAATTAGGGTAAAAGACGCCAACATATAACTAACTGATGTACGATTAAACTCTGCTGGATCTGCATAACTGATCTGCAGATGGTAGGAGAGTCTGTATAAATCATTCGAGACCCGCTAGACTCAAAGGCTTCTTGGACAGCGGCCGCAGTCTGAATGAAGATATGAGGAGTGCCGCGAGATTGGTGTTCGACTGATGAGACACTCATCAACGATAAATAATGCACATAACGAATTAAACATACTAAATATAAAAGCACATTCGGCGTTGGAAGTCTTCAGCAATTCGAACACGCTAAGCTGCATCGTAGACCCCTTCGACACCCTTTGGAAGATCTTCGTATAGAAGACGAAAGAATGCGAGAACTGGTAGAAGACGCCGAGAGACGTTTTAATGAAGGTGAATATGGACCCATATGAAAGTTTACAGCCTTTTGTATCATGCTCAGAATGTTGTGCGTCTGAACGGCGAGTAATCAAAGATATTTGACCCTGCTGATATTGTGGGCAAGTCAAATTAAGCGAAAGAGCTCCGCAAGGTAAAAAGTCGGCAACGCCGACCCCTAGTTCACACAACAGCAGTGTTTAAATTTCAAAGTCCGACCGACCCATAAGTAGGGTATGTACTTGGAGCTCTATTGAGTTCACTGGCACAGGCGCGAAAAGAAACGTAGCAAGAAATTCATGTCCATCGAGGAGCTCACCCAAGCACCATTGACCTCTTCTTGTGCTACAACAACACCGCCAAAGGCTCGGCATGGTCAATGTAAGTCTCGGTGAATACAGATGAGATGGTTCCGTTGTCGTCGTCGTCTTGGAAGAGCGTGCCCCCTAGGCAATAACTCACGTTTACATCAAGGCTATCGAGGGTGCGGGGTCGACCTGTACAAACTGATGTTCTCACAACTTCGCCGGTCACCCGATCCAGGAGAGTACATATAATAGCGGTGAGTATTCTTGTTGCAACCTTGATGGAGGTGTGGAGGTGAATGGGGTTCATACTAGGTTGACTATGGAAAAACTAGGCAGGTCAATGGAGTGAAGCAGCATAGAAATGCACAATACACCTACCTCTGCAAGCCTAGAGAAAGACGCCCACAATCCCTCTAAAATCCATCTCGACTGTGCTCCACACTATCGGTATCTAGTAAGATATCGAAGCTCGTTCCAAGCACCACACTCCTTCGAGCTTTTGAAGATTATCAGAGCGGCGCAACTGCAGTCGTAATTTTTCCCGATAGACGATATATGGTGACAGACTTGTATGACAAGACATTCGGCTGTGGGACTTGAAGGTAGGTGTTATGTTGAAGAAGATGGAAAGGCATTGCAGTGAGGTGCGAGCATTGGTGGTGTGGAGATAGTGAGGATACTCCGAGCCTGTACCACGAAATTCGGTTGAATCTGGTGCACACATAGACCTTGAAAGTCAGCAGAATGAAGAAATGATATTGAAGTAAGCTGTATGGAAGTGTTCGAAGGGGTGACATGGTGATATGCTGAAGTAGTGGAAGCTTTGAAGAGAATAGATGTATGCACTGGGGCACTGGGAGGGTATATTGTCGAGGACAGCGGGTATGACAATAGGGTGCATTCTTGCCGCATTGGTAATGGAGGTGTGGCTTCATGTCCTGGGCGTCTGTGCGGTGAAAACGAGGCTGGTCAACGCAGCGAAGCAGCATAAAACGCACAATACACGCACCTCTGCAACTCAAAGAAAGATACAATCCCTCCAAAATTCACCTCGACCCCACCCAACGCCATCAACCTCCAGTAAGATGTCCAAGCTCATTCCAATCACTGCACCCCTGCGAGAGCTAGAAGGCCATGAAAAAGCCGTAAATGCAGTTGCAGTATTCCCCGATCAAAGACGAATGGTGACAGGCTCGGACGACAAGACGCTTCGGGTGTGGGACTTGAAGACGGGTGTTGTGTTGAAGAAGATGGAAGGGCATCGCGGTGGGGTGCGGGCATTGGCTGTCTCACAAGATGGGCAATTGATAGCAAGCGGTGACAGAGACGGAGAGGTCATTGCCTGGCACGGAGAAACTGGGGAATCGCTCACCCAACCCATCAAAGCCCACTCCCGTTATATCACCTCGCTGGATTTTTCTCCTGATGGAACAGTGCTGGCCACTGGTTCATGGGACACAACGGTAAAACTATGGAACACCACAACTTGGGAGCAAGAAGGAGATCCAATTATGTGTGGTGGATATGTCCTCTGCGTGCGGTATTCGCCGTCTGGAGAACTTCTTGCCATCGCAACATCCAGCAATATCCAAATTTACAATCCAGGTACAAGGAAATGTGTCTCATCCTTCAGGAGTCATACATCATGGAACAAGTCGCTCGCATGGACGCCCAATGGCGCACGCCTTCTCACAGGCGGCGATTCTGACGATCCTACCATACACGAATGGGATGCAACAACCTGGCAGCGGGCCGGTGAACCCTGGACGGGCCACACTGGCTTTATCCATACCATCGCCGTTAATCCTGCTGGCACACTCGTCGCCTCCGCATCTGATGACCATCATGTCCGTCTCTGGCGGCTCTCGGATCGACGAACCATTGCCATCTTCAAGCACTCATCCTTGATGACATGCGTCACTTTCTCCATGGATGGCAAGCATATCCTCAGCGGAGATGCTAAGATGATCTCAGAGTGGGCAGTACCTCGGGGTATTCATCCAAAGGCATGTTTCCGTCCTTGACTCAGAACCGCAATCTGAGCATGTTTCGTACAGATCCTAGCCATCACGACACCCCGCGATGCGTGCATAGATGGAGACTTGTCTACCGCAGAGGAACTACTCACGCAGGATATCAACACCGATGCGAACAACCATACTTCCTACGCCCATCGCTCACTTGTTATGTCCCGAAAGCATGATTGGGACCGTGCCCTTCAGGACGCAATCAAGGTGAGATTCACTGACCCATCATGACCCCCATACAAAGGCTAACTCGACGCTGACAAAGTCCATCAGCATCCAGCCCTCATTGACTGGCTATATCTCCAAAGGCATTGCCCTCCGCGGATCAGACCATGTCCGGGATGCAAGGGCAGCATTTGATGTTGCATTCATGTACACCGACCAAGATTCAGAAACCATTTATTTCCTACTCTTGGTCAAGGTATGTTACAGTTGCCTCACATACTCTCCGCTTTATCATGTATTGCAGGCCATCGCCCTCTTCAATGCAGATCAACATGATGAGGCAAACCTACTCATCAAAGAACTAGCTGCTGGTTGTCCGAATGCCGATATTCTCGCTTGTCGTGTCGTGCAAGTAAGTATCATCCACGCTTGGTCACTAAACACTAATCTTTGCATCCTCGCACATTAGGCGCATCTAGGTGTTCAACTAGGAATCAAAGCCTTGGATGGCGCACGTCACAGCGAAGCCGCCGACCACTTCACTGCCGCTATCAACTCTGGCGCCTTCTCATCGAAACTCGTTCATGAAATATACGAGGACTTCGTCGTGGTGCGTTAAGATGATGCATATATAATGATTTTCATATTTGAGTATCTTGTCCAGCTCTTTGGCTGGGATTTGAAGTCCTTGTGGCAAAAGGCACACCAGAAACGGTGTGATGCACTCCTTTGGGCAGGCAAACTTCAAGATGCCGTGAAATCATACCGAGACATGATGGACAATATCGATGAAACAACGAATGCCAGTTGCCTTGAATGGTCCAACGGCAAGTCTGGGGTTCGTAATGTCGCGCAGGCTACAATCCTCATTTCAATTCCACTTAGCTTTCACGGAAGAATGCAGCGCGCTCCTTCTTACCAACGGAGATACCGCCCTCGCTGCAAGCGATTATGACAGGGCTATTGACCTCTACTCGGCAGTGATTGACCTGGGTTCTGCATCTGATGCCGCCTTTGCAAAGCGCAGCAAGGCGAGGTTGGGAAAAATGCTATGGCTGGAAGCATTTCTCGATGCGGACAATGTGCGGTGGCATTTATCGTTGTTAACCTATACTCATTGTGGTGACACATAGGTCACCGAACTCAACCCCTCATCTTATCTCGGATACAATTTGAAGCACGCAGCGCTTCATGGTGCACAACGCTACGATGAAGCGATACAGGCCTTCCAAATCATGCTCTCAAAATTAGATTGTGCCCCTGACAATGAGACACGAAGTAAGCCCCAAAGAACTCATGCGTCAATATACTTTAAATTTTTCTGCAGAGTTGCGCCAGCAGTATCTCAGTCCATCTGAAGCTGACCATGCTATTCGAAAGGTCATTGATGCTCAACTTGAAAATGCTCCACCGCGTGTACTCGACACCACTACCGGTCTCTTATGCAATCAAGAGGCGCAGATAAGCACCTTCAAATCGAGCATAGAATACAAGGAGCTTGTATCATCAACTATCACGCATCGCGATATCCAAATGAAGCGCGTGGAAGATGTGGTGATGACATACTTCCAATATGTCATGCTATCACACAGGTGGGAAGGAAAGGAACCATTACTACAGAATATCCAAGGCAGGGCCGTCTACGAGTTTGATCCGGTTGGCGGCATCACGAAGTTGCAGTGCTTCTGCAAAACTGTTCATGATTTGGGGTATCGCTGGGCATGGAGTGATACTTGCTGTATTGACAAGAACATCGATGTTGAGCTCCAAGCATCAGTCAAGTCCATGTTCCTCTGGTACCGCCACTCCACGCTCACAATCGTATACCTCTCGGATGTTCCGCCTTCATCAAAGTCTGGCACACTGGCAAAGAGTGCATGGAACACTCGCGGATGGACGGTTCAGGAATTTCTCGCTCCCAATGTCATTCTATTTTATCAGAAGGATTGGACTCTTTATCTCAATGATCGCACTCCCAACCACAAGTATTCTGTCGCGATCATGCAGGAGTTGGAGCAAGCGACGGGCATAGATCGACGGACCATCGTGGCCTTCCGTCCCGGGATGAAAGATGCCCGAGAGAAACTTCAGTGGGCGTCGACACGTATCACCACGTTGCAAGAAGATATTGCATACTCGTTATTCGGCGTCTTTGGCGTCCGCCTACGTGTTGATTATGGCGAGAAGAAGCAGAACGCGCTCGGGCGGCTCCTGCAGGAAATCGTCGCTCAGTCGGGCGATATTACTGCCCTGGACTGGATCGGAAAGTCGTCAGAGTTCAATAGCTGTCTACCAGCCGACATCACTTCATATGAAGCTCCACCATGCAAGTTGCCATGTCTGTCCGAAGAAGAGATTCAGGCATCGGTCTCCTCGTTGCGAGGTGTTGTAGCTCCAGAGTCGGCTTCGGGATTGTATCAGACGCTTGACTACCTGGGCGCTCCCCGTTTCGCGCACCACCGGTTGTATCTACCTTGTATCGTGTTCCCAGTCACAGAAACCAGGCGGAAGCCAGGTCGAGACCAGGACACATATACATATGAACTCAAATCGGACGGGCTTCACGACCTGCAGATCACCACGGAAGACAAGTTGATCCCGTTCTCGCCAGCAAGGCCACTGCCTGCCTGGCAGATAATCTTGCTTGCTCGTCCATGGAGTCGCGATCTCCTGGAGTTGCATGACCCTGCAGACGATACACAGAGCGTGGAAGATTGGTCCGTACCCGAATCTCTGTCACACGTTCCACTCCCTGCACAAACTGAGCTGATTTATTCGGACTCTCACTCACGAGCATTGCGATTGATTGTTCGTCTTGGACAACCTTTTGGTGCATTTTTACTAGCGCGGCAGCGCGACGGGGGATTCAAGAGGGTCGCATCGGATCGTGATATCATTGCACAGGTTGGAAACATGGCTTCCATTAGCTACATGATGGACATTAGGACACTAGAGGTGCTATAGCTGTATAGATTCTTTTTAACTTTTCTGAGAGGTTTTCATTTGTATTTTATCAATAAAAGCTCAGATCCATTCACCTAGGTGACATAACATTCCGTTTGCCTTCCCCCCTCTTCGCACAAACGACACGTCAGCGTGAACCTCAAAGATTAAACGTATCCTACCCACAAAGACCTCCACTAACGTGGGAGTCGCTGGGGGTACATTTTAAGGGCCAACTTGGCGCATGTCGTTATAATAGGGTACGATAATCTTTTACATAATGGGCATTATACCAAGGCAAGTGTAAGGCCTTACGTCGAACGTAGCCCTGGCACCACGGCACCAAATTTGTAGCCTTTCGATGCCTTGTAAGCTCTTGTTAGGCACTTTGAATGGCGCTAACTAAACCTGTAATCCGGCAGCATTATAATGGCCCTTCTGACACAATGTTGTGCATGCATGCGTGTGAGCGATGCTGCATTGGTGCGACGGTTGACCGTCCTGGCTCCTGGTGATCCGTTCGGTATTGCCATCAGCGTGAACCTTTGAACTTTTGAACGCCATCCGTTGCCTGAAGAGTATCATCGTAGAAGCTCATTTGGTGACTCGGTCGCTTTTCTGGTCAAGTCAAACAATTAAAGCTGTCATATTCCTGCAGGCTGCAACTCTCGAGTCCCGACAGACTGACAACCTCCCGTAATTTTGCAGACGATTTCAAGTTGAAGAAGGAAAACGATCGTCCTTTTCAAGCTGACGGACCAATTACTAAGAGCATTTTCCGATATCTCGGAGTTGCTTAGTCCGCTGCCGTTGTAGCATTACAGTATCCAAGTGCGCACTATGCGTATTATGTGAACCAGTGACAAAGAATTTCCAGGCATGTCGACCGCCCTGTATATAATTTATAAACAGCTAAGTACTCGACATCCACCTCCTGTTGTTTCTCCCCTTTTCTTGTTGCATTTATTCATCTCAGCACTATGGGTTTCTTCTCAAAGTCATTCGATCCAGTCACTGACCTCCCAGACTTGTCTGATAAAGTCATCCTTATCACAGGCGGAAAGTGAGTATGTCACAGATGACCCGGATTGTTATTCACAGCTGCTTTGTAGCGCAGGTATCGGCTACTCAACTGTGAAGCACCTGGCACGTCGTGGTGCCAAGGTGTACATGGCCGCGCGTAACCAAAGCAAGGCGGAGGAGGCGATCACGCAACTGAAAGCAGAGGGGTTGGGTCCTGGAAACGGTGATATTATCTGGTTGGAACTTGATTTAAAGGACCCTCGGAATGCGAAGAAAGCAGCAGAGAGATTTATGAAGCAGGAGAAGAGATTGGATGTTCTGAGTCAGTTATCATATGTTTTTGTTCGTTCGTGATTTCGGCATGCTGAATGAATCACAGTTCACAATGCTGCGGTGTAAGCAGTCCAGCTAGCATGGGTGATTGATACTGAATGCCCTATAGGTTGCTTGAGAATTATACCCTGACACCGGATGGTAAGCTCTGGTCTCACTCCGTAAAGATCTGCGTTTACACAACATCTTAGGAGTTGAGGAGAAAGTGATGGTTAAGTAGGTCCTCTGGCAAAAATATATATACCAAGTACTCAACTTAGATATTCATTCCAGCGTAATCAGTCATATCGTCCTAACACGCACCCTTCAACCCCTGCTGGACCAGACAGCAGCAGAGCCAAATTCAGACGTCCGCATAGTCGTCGTATGTGAATCTACTTCACCGCACGCGTCCTGAAAACTCACAGTTGTATACTACCATCCAGGTCGCTTCCGATGGTCACCGGTTCGTATCAGGGAGACCTCGTTTCCGTAACCTTGATGACCTTAACAACGAACTCAAGAGTTCGCTTCACCCCGACTTTGCGCGGTATTGTACGTCAGCACCCATTGGTATCTTCTGTCTCACAGATTTTCTTCACAAGGCATGACGAAACTCATGAATATACTCTACGCTTTTGAACTTCAACGACAACTCGCTGCTGTTGGTTCTCCTATCACCGTCATCGCCGTTCACCCTGGAGCAGTCAACACCTTCTCCGATAGACCGGCTTTATCCAACTTCAAGTTCATCATCAAGCCCATCGTGTCCCTCTTCTTTTTACGTCCAGACCAGGGTGCATATAACTCGGCGTTTGCGGCTGCATCGGAAGAAGTGTCCAAGCAGCGCGAGAAGTACAAAGGCACGTATTTAACGCCGGTAGGCAAGCTTACAGAGCCGACCAAGGTTGCAAAGGATGAGGAGCTTGCAAAGGAGCTTTGGGATACTGTGGATAAATTTTTGAAGGAGAGGGGGATTTGATGGAAGTTTTATTTTATTGATGAGCTGAGATTGATGCATGACGGACAGCCGTACGTGTTGGATGGAACGATTATCTCTGTTGATGCGTTATCATGTACATTTGCGTGGCGCTGGTGCCCATCCAGGTTGTGCGCTTTTCCTTTCCTCTTCTTCTGTTTAGTACATCATTAATTGCATCGTGTCTTATATCTTACTGTATGTTCCTACACAATCAACTTATTGGCCCTTAGTCTGTGTTGGAGTTAATGTCGAAGGTCAAGTGGGTACACAACGATGTAATTATTTGACAAGTCAAGGATTTATTCCCGCCTAAATTTTAGTCACTACAGCGCCCACCCGTGCAAGTTGCAGCAAAAGCCCCTGTACTTTATAGTCTGAGTTAGCCAAACTCAGACGGTTGATCTCTAGAAAATGCAGATCAAGAGCGGAAGTAACCAAGACCTGATTCAAAACGAGCACATGGTGATAGGAAAGATAGGAAAGCTGCGTTGCTAGGCTGAGTAAAACGGCAATAGCTCTTCAGATCATGGTAGATAGCACGAAGGACCGTATCCATCTTGGGTGAACCAGAGCGTGTTCCCACAACCCATCTTCCCTGGAGAAAACTATGATCAAAATTTCAAATGACGCATTCAAGCATGCGAAGTTGGACGATTCCGCAATGTTGTCAGTGAACGAAGTGTATCCCCAAGGTTTGCTATAATTAGCTTACATGGATGTGAAATAGACATAGACTTATATCCGCTGTCCAGCGCAGATTAGGAGCATTCGCTGTCTCGTTTACAACTCCGAGAACATACCTGTTGGTAGTTCGCACGCTCTGGAGGTTACATAGGGTTGTAACCTGTTGTGACGTGAAGAAGTCCAAGAAAACGCTGCCAACGATAGCGCTGATAAGGTCAACGGGCGGATCTCGCGACGGGCCACCTCGGAGAGGGTATGCGTAAATCCGCATCACAGGTGACGAAATTACACTCGAAAAACCTGAACATGCTGTATCATATGGTCATGTTGATTATCAGTTGGTTCGTCGCCGAAAACAGGCGAGGCTCTCCCTGCGGCCAGGGGAACTACTCTGACAAGACTTAGCAGTAATAGCATAGCGAAACGGCCAAGTCCATGTGTTTTTTCAGTACTGCATTTGATAAGCTGATTTTGGAGACATAATAGCCTTGCTAGCTAAATTCAAAAACCATATGTGGTATACAGTTGCCTAAATAGTCTCCGGTCAGATGATCTGCAAACCGCCAATAAAAGAATACCTCTAGCACTATTACGCTCTCTTAACCATTATCATCGCCAATGGCCATTCAATGTCTACTTCATCATGTCCTTCCACAGCTCTCCCCATCCTCCCGTTCAGCACCCTCCATGAGATCCTTCCAGAACCGCACTGCAACATCTCCACGCGGGTTTTCCGCATCCGCGGGGTTGCGCTGACGGAACGTGTGCAACGAGCTCCACGTATTAAGATAAGATAACAG